ATGTAGGCACCCTAAGGGCCGCAGGCTCGCGCATGTAGCATCGGCTGCACATGGACTTAAAGAGAAACTGAAACGGCTCTATATTGAAGAATAAACACTTAAATCGTCTTAATTTGGCATCCAGGATCCCGAATATAGACATTCTTTTTTTTTTAAATTTGGTGCACGGAGGCTGCAGAAAATTATTTTAAAATACCTAGGAAGCCCCCCCCCCCCCCCCCCCCCCCCCCCCCCCCCCCCCCCCCCCCCCCCCCCCCCCCCCCCTTTCCCGGGGTGTGATGTCGAATGCAGAGTTTTCGAAAACTCGGCCCTCGCGCATTTTCAGCGCCTTTCAAATCTATGTACGCGCACTCTCGCTATTTTCAAAAAGGTCAGAAAAAGACTTCACGACTGCTGTCAGTGCGAGTGAATCTAATATAATCGAAGCAAAACTAACCACAATAGAGACGTCACAGTAAGCGTTCGGAGCGCCGTTCCTGATTGCGCAAGTCGCCTTTAGCTACCCACCAACGGGGTTTTGTCTTGCAGTTTAATATTGAATAGGTTTCCGTGCACCTCAACAGTGCACGGTTGTTGCAGTCAATATCACCTACGCAAATGTCTGAACTGGAACCCCTATATAGCCTACACTAGAGACAAGAAATGAGCTACGCTTAGAGTATCGGCACTTTGTTAATCGATCTGCTAGTGGGCGCTGCCATCTTTGTGCTTAGTGCAGAGCAGACGCGACTGTCAATCGTCACAATTAAAAAAAGCGATTTCCTCAGCTGTAGGTACGGCGTTAGGAAGCTGAGTTGATATTGCTTTGATCTGTCGCGAACTGTTTTAACATTTCTGGAGGATGGAGAAGCGCCTCCTGAGATTTCAGATAAAGCCTCAGATAGCTGGCGACCATGATTTGAAGCCCCAAGGTGGCTGAAGTTGCGTTACTTTGAAGCGTAGCTTATTTAGTGGCTCTAGGCTACGCTTCACGGCAACGAGTATCAACACTTCAAGCATTCGGGTGCTAAAAAACCGGTCGAAAGTCATCTAGACTTTTTTTTAAACTACGGGAAACAGTTTTTCCTAATGACGTGTTTACTAGCGGATTCGCGATCGGATCCTCGCAGGCAAAAAGTGGATTTTGGAGACGGATGACAAGATCGACTCGACGCTGGCGGAATAACTGGATATAGGTCCCGGACTGATCCAGATTTTCTGCCAGTGACGAGTCGATTTTGCCACCCGGCTCTAAAATCCCCTTTCCGCCCGCGCGATCTGCCCCGTGAATCCGCAAGTGTAAACGCGCCATTAGCCGTTCAGAGTCCCCGGCAGAGCGTCACCATATCGCCTGAACTTCCAGACAGCATATTTAAAGCTGTGGATGTCGGACTTTTGCATTGTTACTCTAGCAATTATCATACGGCCTGCACCATAATAACGAAGCCCAAAAGACAATCCGGGAATCGGGTGCCGATACTCTCAGCATAGTTTAGTTTCTGGCTCTAGTGTAAACTAGCCTGAACAAGGTTTATCGATACAAGTGGTACGTGTTTCCAAAAATTAGTAAGCTTGCAGGATCTCCCGTAGCTCCAGCATTGTAATTGGAAGGTTTTACAGCGAAGCTGTATATGACCCGTTGGTCGGATTTCTTAGTGTCCGTTGACAGAATAGTAGTCGACAGAAAACCACTGCACGCACCTTATCATCGCTCGTGCGCACCTTATCTATCATGTGGTTTTGACACTTGTTTCAATAAGAAAACCACATGATAGATGATAAGGCGCGCGCGAACAATACGAAGCACGTAGCGCTCCCCGCATCCGTTTCGCGGTAAAGATTGCGGTTGCATAAGCTGCCGCGGTAATGGCAGAGTAAGAAATGGGGAGTGACGTCACTAGCCCCGCTAACAATGCGAAGCACGTGGTGCTCCCCGCATGCGTCTCGCGGTAAAGATTACGGTTGCATAAGCTGCCGCGGCAACGGCAGCGTGCGAAGTCTTTCATGTTTAAAAAAGGTTTTGGTACAGTGGATTTTTTTTCTTCAATCATTCGGTATAGTGCAGTGGGATATCGTTGCAGGTGATACCACAGCTCCGTTGGCCAACCACGTTCACAGCGTAGATTGGAGCCCCAACTTTTTTATTTAATTTTGGATAGTTTTGCTTCATTTTTGTTTTGTAAACCCTGAATTCTTGAACGAGAAACATAACCCCTGGTGCCTGCCATGAGTATTCATTTAGAGTCGCGAAAGTACCATTCGCACAGCCGCTTGCGACTACGTCTTGTCGAGTCACCACAACGAGTCACCGAGAATTCTCTTTCTATGTCGCATGCAGATATGTCACGCTTTATTCAAAATCATGAGTTTTCGCCGTCGTAACTCGACGTAGAGCGAGTGCTCGAAGCATAGGCAAACACGCCTCAGTGAATCGCGCTAGCATTTAGGGGCTTCCAGATTTGCTTATGCCAATTGAATAGATTCACTAAATGGCCCAAGCGTAGTAACATGCTACTTTGATTTGTGTCCCTTATTCGTATACCCGAAGGTTTTTCAAGTGATTATCGCGAAACGTGCACTTTGATTGTTCTCTTATTTATGACGTCAGAAAAACGGCGCCCCTTTTATGCAACTCTGATTCGCGTACGGTTGAGTGTAGATCACAGCGTATTCATTGCGACCTCGCAATTAATTTTCATTAATTAATGTCTCGCTATTATGAACACTTCCATCCCCCCCCCAAAAAAAAAAATATTCCATGATGTGAGTTGTCCATAGTAACGAGACAAGAATGCATATATTTTCCCAGTTTGTCCCCGAAAATGGTGTCAATATAGCGGGCGGGGTATTAGTATTAACAAGGTCTATATTACCGAGGCCGATATTAACGTATGATCAAATGTTAACGTGCTCCCCTTATAACCTAGATTGAAGAATTGGCAACTTTAATTCAACCGTGAAAGGCTTGGATAAATTAACTAGAACACAAAACTACGTGCAAACTTGTTTTACACTTCTTTTTTTTTTGACACTAGGCATTTTATTTTGTGCTGCCAAGTAACAAAAATAGCACAAGATTTGTCTTAACTAGAAGACATCTGTAGTCTCGATGTTTAGTCCCGCCAGAAAAAAACACACACACACACACAGCTTGTTTGCCAACTTTCTGTCGCCTGAGCGTCAGGTCCCGACAACAAACGAACGCTTGTGAAGGGTGCTAAACATCGGTCCAATTGCTAAAAGTTTTTATCTTATTATGTCGCAGACAATTGTTGGTGGTGTGTGCGCGCTTATGCCTTAAGCGGGTTTCATATGCAACGATTTTGGCCCTAAAGCGGCGCGATTTCTGCCGTCGCGGCGCTCGTGCCGCTTAACCGCTGTTGCTGGCCAGAGCGCCGCGACGGCAGAAATCGCGCCGCTCTAGGGCCAAAACCGCTGCATGTGAACCAGGCTTCTGTCCCGCTTTCCAATCTTCGCCTGCGTGCAGCACGTGCTTGAAGGTGTCGGTCGCCGTTTGTCACTCTAGTGAAAATTGATATTCTTGTCAATTTCGGGAGAGCAACATCTATCCGTCCCAAATGCCTTCTGTTTCATAAAACGAAACTCGCGTTTCTTGTTTACGACTGCAATAAAAATAGCATTGGTTTGTCTTAGATTAGAGTTTGAGGTCGGGTGTCCTCCTCCAGGCTCTGCAAGTCTTCGCCGCCGCGCTACTTCGAAGCAATTGGCTGGCCGTCCGCACTTTCACCAAAATCTGGCCATGGTTATTTGAATGTTACCGATGCTACCGAACTGCGTTGAATCGGTGGGAAACCAATCCCGCGTACACAATCATTTGCACCCTCCTCCTCTTTTATTCGATCACTCTCGCTAAAAATTTCGATTCAACTATCCTAATTATGGCTTCTTTTTTTGTGCAAAGGTAACATGTATTTGGTTGGAACTATAGGAATGCTAATATAATGTTATTGACCGCGGTCCCATTCAACACCACCTAGATTTCTAGAATAATCAAAAGCCGTGTTTTATAATTTTGACGTCATTGCAGTGAGATTGAAACTCGTACCCTATCAATGCGTCGAAGGACATCCGACATCGGGCTCGCGTCAAACTGCCAAGTTGGCGACATCCGAAAAACACGTCCCATTTTTTTTTTTTTTTTTTTTAGACATTGACAGGTATTGTGATTGGTTACGTGGCTAAAGGCAGGTTTAACGCCAACCAGCAACATGCCAGTTTTAGCTACGGCGATATATCATCAACAGGTACAAAAAAGCAACTTGCAGAAGACATAAGAGACGTAGTGAAATATATAAGCTATTAACGAATTTCAAGTCGCAAAAAGAACTAGAGGAGTGGGCAGAAATGATGTCAATACGTCGTTACAAAAATTAGAAAGTGTAGACGGGATATAATCATTCTAGATAATGTTGTCTTCTCACGCTCCTTATCGTCGTCTCTAAACACCCGTGTAACGCTTGTTCAGGATGCCTGCCTTCCTCTAGATTTGGGCTAGAATTTCTATACTTTAATTACTTACACTTAAGTCATTAAGAGATCGTGTGCCATTAATATGTCTTTACTACGCAAGATTTTTACGTGCTCCCGCCTTTTCGCAATACCCAAAATAGTAAAACAGTAATTCAAACCTTTCTACTCAAACATGCCTCTTCAAGGGCGTGTATTTACGTCGAAAACACTGACTCAAAGTATAGTAAAAAAAGGGTAAAAAAAGAATCGTTTTTACTTTACACCGTAGAAAACATACCCAGACAGTTTAAAACGCGCCGCACAATGTTCCCATGGCTTAGACAAGACACGAAACAAAGCAAGTATAGGCTTGCTTTAGCAAAACGTTACCGCAGGCTACCATACGAGGCGGTGTTGATACTAAAAAATCGAACTTCATCCTCAAAGCGTGCTCTTTGTCGCGCGCTAAGAGCATTGCGCTGCGTACGGTAGTATACGGTAACGCTACGTAAAACACGCTAATAAGGTGTCTTGTGTAGCAGTATACTCACTTTGTATGGCCCCAGCCGGGAAGACGGGAGTCGGGTGGTGCTGGGACTGCGGTGGCGGAGGTGGCGGCGGCGGAGGCGGAGGCTCTGGCCGGACACCCCGAGCGATGAGACCCGCGGCACCACAGGTGGGTGCCGAGGCCGACGGTGGCGCCGAGAAGGACCTGGGCACCGGCGCCGAGTACCGGTGGTACGCCGCCGTCGGTGGTCCAAGTTCCGCGTACGAACAAGACAGCTGGCACGCCGCCGATTCCATGCAGGGCTCGAACGCTGCGCTGGCCGCAGCCTGGTTGAGGTATCCGTAGTCCATGATGACTTCGTTTCCCACGTTTCTGCTGCCCCGGTGGTAGTACTTGCCTAGATCGTTGACTGACCTAGCTCATGGGCTTGGCTGAAGCTGGTGGGGTTTTTGAGTTCCTGGACTTGCTATGTTCGAGCAGTTCCCAAGCTCAGGGATTTGCTGAGCTCTTGGAGTTGCCAACTTTCTGGAGCAGCCGTGATACTTGAAAATAGAGGATTCTGGAGTCGCCGTGTTTCTGAGGTTGCCCAGTTGCCCAGCTTTTTAAATTGTCGAGCTCTTGGACCTAATGAGATCTTGGACTTGACGAGTTCTTACACTTGACGAGCTCTTTACCGATTCACTAAAATTGTCAAAAATGGAACACGTTTAAAAGTGACGAATAGGCCGAATTCTGATGGAGGTTTGGCTTCACCTCACGCTCCGCTGTGGCATAGAAAAATTCCCGGTACGATGAGAGGCCTAAACTGTATTCATCACGCCCTACCTGAACATTGGCTTTCCGGACACTTTTTCAAGGATGGATTTGAATCTATCACCGCTCTTGATTATATTAATTTGCGTTATGGCACATGTGAGTGTGGTCAAACACAATGTCGCGGATTTTTAAACAGGTGACCACGTGTGTCCTTGGGGTGTGACTGTCTTGGAGTTCCGCTTTCAAGCCTGCAAGCGGCACAATCAAACTTGCGGGGATCTCGAAGCGGTCATTGTGACGGCTCGGGGTGATCTTCGCACTGACAAAAACCTGATATAAAAATATGACGGTTTACATCTTCCACTACACACTAGCCAACTGACCTGAGAGTCGGCTTGGAACACATCTCCGACGGATCCGGCTAAGACTGAAGGAAAGACATCATCGTTTGGCCTTGAGATACAGACAACCGTTCCTTTCTTTTAGCCGCTGCTATACGGCACAATTCGCAGTTTCTTCGAAGAACTCGGGACGTTTTGGCTGTCCTAGTTCGAGCACGCTTCACACGGAACTCAAGCACTTCTTAAGTTTATCAAGGACCGTCCACTGGTGATTCGTTGCCCCGAAAGGAGAGAAGAGACCGGACTCCTTTTGCCAAGCTTACCTCCACCGCTTCCCGAAAATTCCGAAATCCCAACACACAGAGCGACGTCGGCGCGAAGCTGCTAGGCCTCACGAAGACCGGACGCTGGAACCTACCACGCCGTCCTCTTCGGTGGCACGACGAAAAAACAGAGAGTCCGAACTCCACGTGAGCACCAGCGAGTGACACCGAACCCTGCAACACGCAGGGGTGCGAAAGGCGTATCGAGGGCGAGCGCGGCTCCGAGACGCGACCGGCTCCCGAACCACGGCTTGTTTTGAACGTCGGGTTGGGACTCCCCCGTGCGCTTTATAGGAGGCTCCTCCTCCCGAAACTCTTCCCCATTGCTTCCCCCTTTGTCGATGCGCGTGGACGAAAGGAAGAGAGAGGAGAAGCGCGCGCGCTGCTCTGTTTCCCTCCTCTCTCGTTTTCACTCTCTCTCCTCTCTTTCTTCCCGGTTCTCTTCCTCCTCCTTTTACGCCTCCCCATCCGTTTTCGCATTTCATCGTCAGTCCCGTTTGGAACTTCTCCAGTTTAGGCGCCAGAGGGCTGCGAGCGCGGAGGCCATGGCGCGCACAAGCGGTAGGACGGAATATGCTCCAGCTGTTTTGTATAAAGATTGCCTCTTTTTTTTTTCTCTCTCTCTCTCAAGTTATACGAATCCCGGCGTTTCCGGAAGTATAGCAGAATGCTCTAGCGCGCCGCAGCTCAAAGCACTTGGAATGAAAGCTCTCGCCGTGCAACCAGGAGTCCTGGGTTTCGGTAAAGTCCTTTGACAAAATACACCATTCACGGTTCTTTCAAGTATCTAGCAACCACCATTGTTGCGTGAACGCGCAGGACATGTTCCACAAGCGGAGTGCTTCGCCGCCATTCGCTTCCAAGTGCCGCACGGAGCACGGGCGTCGTGCACTGGTGCGCTAAGCGCTAACTTGTACACAACGAACACAACAGATCAAGCGACATTAGTTTTGGTTCTCATATGGAGGGAGTAAGTGACAAGAGTTATGCGCCCGGACGGCACACAGAGATACAACTAAAGACACAGATACCTTAGACAGATATTGGGAGAGACGGAGCGAGAAAAGATAACTTAATGAACAAATACGAGTTGCAAATACAAACGAAGACAAGAGGATAAAAAGAATGAAGGAATTACCAACCTATTTTTTTCTTTCAATATATAAAATATTTCTCTTTTTTCTTTTCTTGTTTCTAACCGAAGGCGCAAGACGTGATAAATGGCGCCTCTCCAAAGCGGGGCAGCGGCGGCGGGCCACCAACAGTTCCAGCGTCGTGCTTCGCATCCGCAGAACTCGGCTCGTTCTGGAAAGTGTTCCCGACCAGGTATTCCCTCGCCTCCTCCCTTCTTTTACAGCGCGGAACAAAGCTTTCGCCGGCCACAAGCCGTTTTAATTTGAGCCGGCCAAAGGAAACCCAGACTGACCGTTTCCTTTCCAGAGTCATCACCTTACCGCACCACTCGCTCTAGCGGCGTAGGTGCTCTTCATCGCTTTCTCCCGTGGCTTCGCGTTCGGGAGGTTTCGGTTTCCGAGAAGTCACTAGGGTAATTTATTATAATACACTCTTCTAATGTTCACAATATCAATGCCCAGCGTGCGATCTTCACGGTCCAGCACGGGTTGCACTCATTTCGAGCTCATTCCGCACACCTTGGAGTGGGGGCGACGAGATGGCAGCCTACATGACGTGAACCCCTCTGAAATATTTGGGGTTGTTAAAAAACTAAAACCTAAGCTATCCGTTGGTTTTAATAGCGTACCTAGTTTTATTTCTAAAGGCTGTTCTTGTAGTTTTGCACCGGTATTGAAACATATTTTTATTTGTTCTTTAAAACACTATTGATTCCCTACTGTGTGGAGAGGTGTAGCTATTGCACCGGTTTTCAAATCTGGAAACCCAGGCAATAGAAAGAAACTATTTTAGGCCGGCTTAATTACTATAAATAATATATAGGTCTTATCGTTTCTTTGGGCACAAAACTAATTCGGCGCAACATGACTTTATGTAGGCCCGTTCGGTGGAGTCTAATATTTGTCACTTTAAGCACGGTTCTGTGCTCGAGTCATTTAAAACCGAGGGAAGGTTTATGTAGAGCATTCGGACGTGATGAAAGCATTTGATAAGGTTAACCATAAATTACTTCTAGCTAAAGGGGTGGTGCAACAATATTCACTTGGAATGTTTTTCACTTTACACGAGCTTACTGGCACTAGTGGGACTCCAGATTATTCGCACGCAACAACACTTGCCAAGAAACTACTCCTTTGTTGTGGTGTAATTTCAGAGACAAAAGCAATCCTTTTTATTCAATCTCTCCTTTGCAAAATTTGATGACATAACGTAAGGATCGCAGTACACCCCAATGACGATATTTGAATGCTGTTCATAGATTGGACCCGAGCATTGCGTGGGCTCTCGATTTGGGCTCGCGATAATCGATAGCTCGAGAAGCATTCGGGTAGTGGCCCGTGTCCAATCGCTGCAACGGCGACAATAGCCGAGCCATAACAATGTCGGGAACTCAGCGCGTGTCCTGTGCTTTGCCAACCCCAGCGCGTGGCTATGATCAACATTGGCGGCATATAATCGGCTCCATATCACGTGGCCGCTTGTTCTGGCTGCGAGTTGAGGGGGTGAACCTGCTCGTTTTTCTTTAATTTTTTACTGGGACTTCTATTGCGTGGGGTGAAAAACGAACGCGTGTTTCATAGGTCATTAACGTCAGGGGTCCGTTCTAAGCGGTATTTGCGCAAAGTGCAAAAATTGTTGCATCGCCCCTTTAATATGTTTGAGTATAGTGCACCTGATGTGAACATCAAATGGTTGAACAGTTATTTGGCGGGGCACTCAAACGCTCAAACTTTAATCGGTCTTGTACACTTCAACTCCTGAATTGCCTCAGAGATATGATTCTAACTTTGTCTTCTTTAGTACAACATAATTACTAATTATCTCTTCGGTTATCTTCAGTTTTCTCATTTGTTGAAGTATGCTGATGATGTAAGAGTATCTCATAAGTTTGAAGCCTAATGTGACTGCAGGGAAATGTAGACTGATATTGATGCGGTCAATATGTGGTGCACAAATAATGGTCTTGCTTTAAATCCGAAAAAAGGAACTAGAGTTATCAGATTACGTCGAAAACATAGAGTATAATACATATCGTTACATGTTCAACATGTCCGAAATAGAAAGAACATCTGTCATACGCCACCTTGTTGTGTCGTGGGACTCCGCGCTTCAGATGGACTCACACGCTAATGCTGTGGTGGCTTCATAGTTGAGGACGCTCGGCATAAATTACGCGAGTTAAAAAAACTGTCCTCTGCGCTTGTGCAGCTTAATTGCTTTGTCCGCTCAACATTTTAGTTTGCTTCTATTTCCTTGTATTCACTTAAATCTTTAAAATCTAAGCGCTTGAAAGCATCCCGAGACGCTCTATGTGTTGTGTTTATGACCGATACCTCGGAAAGAAATATTACCGCAATTGGCTGCTGAGTAAAAAAGGTACGGAGACACCTTTCAAAAGGTATCTTCATGGTTTGTTATTTGTTCGCAAACTTTAAAACAGGAAGGGACATGCTCACGTTTATTATCCACCGTAAGCTTTTGTTTGTCTTCTTGCTCCTTGAGGTCAATGGAACTGGTTTAGGTTGGTGAGCCCTCCCGACTTTCGCCTGTTACTCAAATGCAAGTTTTGTGTTACGGTATTTCGTCACCTTAAATTTACATGTTCTTTTTTTAAGCTATCTGTAATAAAAGATAGCAACGTCAAAAATACAGTAAAATATGGAAAAAAATTCTATGGTATCTTTTTGTGTGTGTGGTTAGTGTGTTTGATGTATGTGCGTATGTTCCGTCTTCGGTTTTATTGCGATGCGCCACCGGGAAGGCACGTGTTGCTGTTGGTGGGAATCAATAAATAAA